TAACTTTTGAGGCTGAAGTCTCCTCAAAGTCTTAGAGGGATGAGGGTCCATATGGGAGTCAGCTGGGATTTACCACTCCTGCGGTGTGATGGTTCTGGTTTGGTCAGGTTCTGTGTCTTTCTCTCGTCCTGAGACATCTGCAGAAAGGATGCTTCTCTCCTCTCTGAGGTCAGTGCAGAAAACTGGGTTTCTTCTCGCCAGTTCTCTGTGCAGAAGCGTGTTTCTCTCTGGAGTTTTCTCTCCAAAAACGCCAGGCTGTTTTGCACGTTACACGTATATAAAAATAGCATATACATAAAGATATATTTGGTGTTTATATATTCATTGATGTGATTAATCAAAATCAGTTAAATGTGAATGTTAGTGTTCTTTATTCAGAAAATCCACATCACATTTCAGGATCTGGTTATTTTAGACACGGATTAAATGTTCAATATGAATATTTCTATATTTATCACCATAGTAATAGTGTTACACACCTTTGTAGTTGTAAACACTCAAAACATATGATGGTGTAGTGTTTACTGATATCCTAAACATTTAAGGAGTAAACATTTTTTATTATCATGTTAATTTATATATGTTGTTTTTGGTGCCGGTTTGTTTTCCAGATATATCAATGGGTGTGAATGACAGGGATTAATTTAAAACACTTTGTAGAACGGTGCTTTATGAAGTTCATTCCATTTTCTTGTATCAGTTGACCGGCAGATCTGCCACATTCAATATGGTGGATGATCCGATGTACTGCTGCAGTGGACCAGTCTGCTCAACGAGGCGTCGACGTATTTACATGTCTGTCTATGGGAATCCCTCTCCCCTCCTTTGCTGCTGCACTCCTCCCTTCTTCCTGTTCTCACACGGAAAGGATCAGTGTCTTGAGTTCATTAAATCGGGATTTAAGTGGAACGCCAGCCTTGAATAGTGGAAACAGCGTCTCCATCCAAACAGGTGTTTTTTTTGTGTGAAACTCAGTAAAGACTGACTGCACAGATTCAGCAAGTTCTTTATTTCTTTTGCATTCATGATACACAGCAACATACGATGACGCTACAGAAGCCTTCAGTACTGACAGGAGTTAATGAGTGAACAAACAAGGCAGAGGACCGGTACAATCACAGGAAATTAATACGACTTTATGGCACTTGTTTCATTTATATTCTGAATAATATTGCTTTGAAAGAAACAACTTATCAATCCCCAATGATGTTTTATTCTGTTACAGTATAGTTAAAACTCAAATAGATTTATTGCTAACATCAAACAGAGCTTACATCAAGTATATATTCTGCTTTGTAAGAAAAGTTATTGAAAAGAAGATAAAGTGAGGACATGCAGAAGGAGGTTACACCCAACCTCTGATAGGCCTACATGCAGTCTTTAGACACAAGTTACAATCCTGTTTGATTGATGTATTTTTAAAGCTACGATACACAACTCTGAGCCATAAATAGGTTCACATGCTGACAGAGGTGCTTTGCCAAACAGCCATCAGCACATTAGGGCATTAGGAAGTAATATTGCACACACAAACCTTTATCTCTGTCAAACAAACATTTTATACAAATTATATTGAAACCCTTAAAACCCAGTTAGTCCTCACCCACACATCCAGTTTAACTCCATCTCCAACAAACACAAGATCATTTACAAAAACTTTTACACAACTGAGAAAGAAAACAAAAGATCCAGTTTTGTTTTGCTGAAAGGTTAACCGTTTATTTCTTCATGACTAGGGACAAGTTTCCGGCTTAACAAACAAGGATTTGTTTTAGCCTGATTAGATCACCATGGCTGAACTCATCACCTGCTCCAGAGCAGAAACTTGTTTTTCCCGTTTTAGGATACCTAGTCTTCATTTGTATTAATATTAAATGTATTGTTATACTGATGACACACAATTATATTTGTCCATGAAACACAGTGAATCCAATCAGCTACTTAGACTACAAGCATGTCTTAAAGACAAAAAAACCTGGATGACCCTTAATTTTCTGCTTTTAAACTCAGACAAGACTGAGTTTTGGTTTTTGGACCTGAGCACCTTAGGAATAAATGTTTGTTTTTCTCCCTCCTTAGATGGCATCAATCTGGCCTCCAGCTCTAATGTTAAAAATCTTGGTGTTATTTTTGATCAGGACATGTCTTTTATCCCCCACATTAAAAACGTTACTAGAACTGCCTTCTTCCACCTGCGTAATATCACTAAAATTAGAAACATCTTATCTAAAAATGATGCAGAAAAACTGGTCCATGCGTTTGTCATGTCTAGACTGGACTATTGCAATGGTTTATTATCTGGGTGTCCAAATACTTCTTTAAAACGTCTTCAGTTGATCCAAAATGCTGCTGCCAGAGTCTTAACTGGAGTTAGTGGGAGAGATCATCTCTCTCCAGTTTTAGTTTCTCTCCATTGGCTCCCTGTCAAATCCAGAATAGAATTCAAAATCTTACTTCTAACCTACAAAGCTCTCAACAACCTAGCTCCATCTTATATTACAGATCTTATTGTTCCATATTTTCCTAACAGAGCACTTCACTTTCAGGCTGCAGGTTTAGTCGTGGTTTCTAGAGTTTCCAAAAGCAGAATGGGAGGCAGGGCTTTCAGTTATCAGGCTCCTCTCTTGTGGAACCAACTTCCAATCTCTGTCCGTGAGACTGACACATTATCCAGTTTTAAAACTAGGCTTAAGACTTTCCTTTTTGATAAATCCATAGTTAGGGTTGGCTTGGGTTTCCTGAGCTGTCACTTAGTTATGTTTCTATAGGCATAGAGTGCTGGAGGACAAACTGTGACCACATTTTTTTTTCACTCTACTACTGTCTTTACTTACTCTGCTCAACCTGTTTTGTATTTGTAATTATTTTTTCTATCCTTAACATGTGTTTTTGTCTTTCAGGTACACCTGGACCTAACATTCTGTGTTCGTCTGTCTCTCCTTCCTGTCCTCTCAACCAGCCGGTCAAAGCAGATGGCCGCTTGTCCCGAGCCTGGTTCTACTGGAGGTTTCTTCCTTTAAAAGGGAGTTTTTCCTTTCCACTGTTGCCACTGTGCTTGCTCAGGATGGGAGACTGCAACGAAGCCAAGATTCAACTTGTCTGCTGGATTCCTTAGATAGAGAACTTTAATAATTGACTTTTATGTTTGTGAATGTTTCTGTAAAGTGCCCTGAGACAACTTTGTTGTGATATGGAGCTATAATAATAATAATAATATATATATGTATATATATAAATGTATATGTATATATATGTATATAAATATATATATATATATATGTATGTATATACAAATACACTGAATTGAAATTAACACAACCTGCTGTCTTTCAAATGTGAAGTATTTGGGTCAAAAGAGGTTTTCACTGTAACTTTATTTCTGTTGGATCGAGATACTTTAAACAGAAATGATGTGTGGAATGACCCTGTCCATCTGTAAAGGAACACCAAACCAATGTGGTAAGACATGACACCACCTGTCAATCAATCCAGCACGCTCGTCAGCAACTGACCAATCAGTGATCACAATTTGTCCCGAAGTGAAACATACTTTACCTGCAGGAGCTCCACCCTCTTTGGGGTAATTTCTTCATGAGGGTGTTGACAAGTAAGGATGAGCTGTAGCTTCAAAAGCCCAATGTGTTGAAGATTTCATGAAAATATTAGTAGCATCTAAAAATGACTGAAATTAAAACATGTTCCAGTTTCAGTGTGTGGTTCTACAAGTCCAGACTACATCCACTCGGATTATGTAAGATGTTCTGCAGTCTTTTCATCCTTCCAACTACCCACTAACATTTCCCATTTTCCACCAGTCCATCAGGCTGGAGGCTGAGCAGGCACTCTGTCACATTATTTCCCTGCAGAGTGGATTACTCTGCCTCCATTAGACTAACAAGAAACCAGGAGGACATGAGGAGATGCAGGGGGAGGGGGACACCATGGGAGGACGGAGTAGAAACATGATCATAGTAAGGAGAAGAGGAGTTGGAAGAAAGAAAAGATAAAAAGAAAATGGAAACAAATAAAAAAAAGAAGGTTCAGATGAGAGGAGGAGTTGGAGCAGGTAAAGGAGAAAACGGAGAGGAGGCAGAGGGCAGAGAGGGAGGAGGACGAGGAGTTCACAAGAAGAAAAAGTTGGAAAAAGATGAAAAGCTGGAAAAGAGTGAAGTGATGGAGTAAAGAATGAAGAAACCTGTCGGAGCAGACGAGGAGGACAAAAAGAAAAACAGAGGCATGACAAGGACTACTGGATGAAAGAAGATAAGTAAAGAAGATATGTGAGGAACAAATACAGAGAGGACAGGGACTTAAGTCACTCATGCTGATCCAGAGTGCTGGTGATGAGACACCTCAGGTAGACTTGGTCCAGTGGTCTCATGTCTCCATGCCCGTTCAACTGTCAGTCCCGCAGAGAAGACATGGTGTTCAGGTCTCTCTTGTAAATGAGTCCTCGAGGCTCAATGGGATTAACCTGTCTAAATAAAGGTTGAATGAATGGTCTTGGACAGTGGTTTTTGACCTGAAACCTGTCCCTCCATGTGACCACAGCCCCTAAACTGGTCTGTCTTGGAGACATTCTGGAGCAGAAAGCCAGTGACGTAGGGGACCAGATTGGCTCTGAAAGGATACAGTAAAACCAGTAACGGAAGCGCACATTCACTTCATGCATGTCTTTTGGTTGAAACATTTCTAGGTGGAAATTTATTAATATCAGTAGACAAAGGGTTAAAATAATAAAGAACGTGGATCAGTGCACCTCTGTCACTGAAGGGAAAGTGGTTCCAGTAGTCGAGATAATTAGGCACAAGACAACAAGACTGGAAAATAAAATCTAGAAAAATTATCAGATAATCTGGAGTCAAATAATCCTCAGAAGACAAAAATATCCAAACAGGAATAAAAGAAAGTCGAGTAGCAGAACCTCATGTTCATGGAGAGCAGAGTTAAACACACACACACACATTAATAGAACTTCTTTGACTTGAATAAAATCCCTTCAAATGAAATAAAGGTTTCCTCCACAGTCCCTTGTTTACACACACACACACAAATATATACAGTAAGTTTCAATAAATAGTATAAATATTATAAATAAATATGAGCAGTGCTAAGATGTGTGTGTGCTGTGAAGTTACACTTCAGTGAGGGACTACAGAGGAATACCATGACATAAAGTAATTAGGTTTTTATCCTGTTGCTCTCAGAGGTCTCAGATATCAGTGGTCTTAACGGTCGGTGGTCTTATGGTCTTGGGGTCTCAGAGGTCAGGGCTTTCAAATGTTGGGGTCTCACATGCCAGTGGTCTCAAACATCAGTGGTCTCAAACAACAGTGGTCTCAGAAGTCAGGCCTCACAAAGGTCATGGCTCTTGGCGGTCTCAGAGGTCAGGGGTTTCAATTGTCAGTGGTCTCAAACATTAGTGGTCTCAGAGGTCAGAGCTCACAGAGGTCAGGGGTCTCAGAGGTTGGTGGTTTCGGAGGTTGAGTGTCTAAAGGGTCTAAAGGGTTAGGGCTTGAAGAGGTAAGGGCTCTCAGAATTTTGTGATGTCAGAGAACAAGTTGTCAGAAGTCAGGGCTCACAGCGATTGAGGCTTTTATAGGTCAGCAGTCTCAGAGGTCAGTACAGCGCTCCTGCTTGCTGTAGTGATCAAACTGACTCTTCCAGTGCATCATGTAGGAAGACCAGCGGTGGAACTCCACCTTCCACTGGCGCTCTGCTTCATCTATGTTACCTGAAAGAACAAACACAAAATTAAAGCTGCAAGCAGCATTGGAGGCCCTCGCAGCAAAGCGCCGCTCCGGCCTTACGGTGACCGCAGGAGCTGCAGCTAGTCCAGACAGTCGCCATCGCGAACGCTCTCATGCCAATCCCGCACGCGTTCACCATGGGGCGCATTTCCCGAATCTTCAACATCGCCTTCCGCCCAAGCCACTACTTGTCCAGCTGCAGGTCTTACAAGTATAGGTGAAATTTGACCTTCCAGACAACTTCCTGTTTTGTTGTGAATGTTTGACAAGCACTTCCTTTATGCTTTTCAACATGTCATGTGTGGTAATCAACAGTTAGCAAACAAAGTTTCAGTCTAATAATCTTACACAGTGCGAAGCTGGAAGTGTCATCCAATAATCAACTGTTTTTTTCTCTGAGTAGGTGGGGCTTAAGTGATGTCATGAATCAACAATACCAATGTGTCTACAAGTGCTCACTGATGAAACACAAAAACTCAGGTTCAGATTGGATGATGTATCACTGAAATATAACTGTTGGAATAATGTAGGGGCGCACTTGAGTCCAATGTTAAAGAACAATATCAATGTGTCTAAGTGTTCACTGATCAGGGACATAAAATCTGGTACATATTGGTTGATATTTCACTGAAATGTAACTGTTGGAATAATCTAGGGGGCGCATTGGAGTCAAAAGTTAAAAAACAATACCAATGTGTCTAGAAGTGTTCACTAATGACGCACCCAAAATCTGGTTCAGATCAGATGATATATCACTGAGATATAACTGTTGGAATAATGTGGGGGGCGTACTTGAGTCCAATGTTAAAGAACAATAACAATGTGTCTATAAGTGCTCAATGATCATGCACAAAAAATCTGGTGCAAATTGGATAATATATCATTGAGATATAACAGTTTGAATAATGTAGGGGGCGCACTTGCGTCAAATGTTAAACAACAATACCAATGTGTCTAGAAAGGCTCAAAGATGATGCACCAAAAATCTGTTGTGGATAGGATGGTGCATCAATGATATACAACTGTTGGAAACATCTAGGGGGCGCACTAGTCATATGTTAAACCACAATATCAATGTGTGTAAAAGTCCTCACTGATGACGCACAATATGTCTGGTGCAGATTGGATGTTGTATCACTGAGCTATAACTGTAGGAATAATGTAGGTGGCGCTGTGGAGGCTATTGGCCACTTATAAGACCAGTTTTTGTTAAGCACTTTGGTAACAGTTTCTGTTTTAAATGTGCTCTATAAATAAGTCTGACTTGACTTGACTTGATTTATCATGGATACCTGTTCAAGGGGCATATAATGAGCGATCATAGTGATTTTTGTGCACCTCGGCTGAAACCTGTGCAATTTAGAGGTAAATGTATTGCAACGGCATCACTACTTTATTTGCCGTGCCGCCACGCCCACATCATCAAGCAAAAACGGTTTGCACTTTAAATCAAGTCAGAACATGTTATCTGTCTTCTAACACAGGATCATCCTGATTAAGTCAATGATGTCAAAGAGGGAGCATTCCAAGTAAAAAAAAGAGACTTCCTGTTCTGAGGGGGCGGGGCTTTGATGATGTCAAAATATGACCACAGTGGATCGTCGGGCATCCAACAGGGATGAGTCATGCCAAGTTTCGTGCATTTCGGTCTTTCAATGTGAAAGTTATAGTGTTTGGAAATTTATGGCGTGAAGCAAAACTTTGAGGCCTGGCCACGCCCCTTTAACATATATGAAAATGCAAGCTTTAGATAACTTTTACTGTCTCCAATGTCTTAAGGGCATATCAACCAAGTTTGAAGGCAATCCTTCAAAATCCCTAGGAGGAGTTCGTTAAAATTTGCAATTAGAAACGCCCAAAAATGACCCCTTGGACCCAAAATGGCCGACTTCCTGTTGGTTTTGGACCAGGGCTCCAAGAGACATTTTCATAGGTCCAGAGAAGATACAGATGTTCACAGAGTTTCAGAATTATCGGTCCAAAAATGGCTCGAGGCTGAAGTTTTAAAATATTATAGGGGGCGCTGTGGAGGTTATTGGCCACTTATCATGGCTTCCTGTTCAAGGGGTGGATAATGATCGAGCATACTGATTTTGGTGCACCTCGGTTCCAAACCGTGGAATTTATAGCCAAACGTATGGCGACGGTGTTACGTCTTACTTCGTCACTCCGCGCCACCCACATGCTCCACCCCAAACTGTCAGTGTTGGAAAGCAAGTTACACCAACATGTCTTTGGTCACTGGACACACTATCATGCTGATCAGGTAACAGGGGTCAGATAGGGATCATTCAAAGTAAAACTTTATACTTCCTGTTGTCATGGGACGTGGCTTAAGTGATGTCAAGATTGAACCATTCAGTCTTGCAGGGGACCGGATGTGGATCAATCACGGAAGGTTTGATGTCTCAGACAGTTTTCGTGTAGGAGCCATTAGCGTTTCGTTTTTCATGGCGAGATGTCAAACTTTGAGGTCTGACCCTGCCCCTTCAGCATGCTCCGAAACAAACCATTTAGATAACTTTGCGTCCCCCATGCCTTTTGACCAAAATGGCCAATGTTGAAACCTATTGAGTGAAATCACTAGGAAGAGTTTGTTCAAATGCGGAGGCTGTAAACCAGTAAAAAGGTGTTAAAATTGGTGAAGCAGGCAGTCTGATTTCAGTGAGCTGCGCTCAGTCTGTCCGTAGAAACACACCGCTGAAGCCATGGAGCTTCAACATCCAACATAAAACTAACTTTATCACGGTGTCTGGCTAAACAATCCTCCTGCGCTTTAATGTGGTGCTTTTTCAAATATTTATTAAGTTCGATGTATTGTAGGTCATGACCGAGCTTCCCCTTCTCGGTACAGCGGCTCTGCAGACATTGCACATTGCTGTCTTGTGGTGTTCAGTGTAAAATACTTCCACACAGCGGACATGTTATGATGAAAAGTTGGTCAGTCGTTAGCAACAGTGCTGCTGCTCAGTGATCAGCCCTTAAAAGAGTATTTACTCACATTTTAGCTGGCTGCAAACGATGAAATGGATTTCCTGAATTTGAGGTGGGTCTTATTACTCTGGGTTTCATGAAACATGCCTCCATTCAGGAAATCCAATCCAAAGTTTGAAGCCAACCTGCAGAGCAGGTCATCAGACACAGACATGCATCATGGATCAGAAAGATTGGTAGGTTGGATTGTAAAAATCCGATACGTAAATTATGTTGGTATCGGAGGCCGATATGGATCGGATCGGCCCCATGCCTACACCCAATCCCCAATTGCTCCCCGGGCACTTACAGGGATAAAATACATTTCGGTTGCATGTGTGTGGTGGTTTTGGCATGGACAAGCCTTTTAAGGACCCGTTTCCGCTGCTTGGCAATCTTTTGTGCCCTGTCATTCCCCGATCTGTTACGGAAGCACGATCCCTAGTGTACTTCCATGTCGCATGGATCGCCGTTGTTTATGAATAAAAACTGTCTTCCTTTACTTAGAAAAGTATGTGCTCTATCTCCGCCGATCTTCATGTAGCTAATTTACGCCACTCATTTCTGTTACAAATCATTTGTTACAAATCATTGGTTAAGATGATATGCAATGCATTAGACCTGACCCCCAGCCTGGACTGAATGAGAAACACCCTGCAAGATACAGAATGAATTATTTTCATGGTGAAATTGTACCACTCAGTGATTAAGTTGCATATAATTTAAACCATATAAATATGTAAATATGTCAATTATTTTAATAGAAATATGAGAGGCGTAATTTAGTAACATGAAGATCGGCGAAGATAGAGCACTTTTTTTTTCTCTGTGCTCAGGTGAAGACAGGTGTGCCCGTGTCTGCTGCGTCCCTCTGCTTCCCTGCTCTGCTCTCTTTTGTCTTGTGAACCCTTTAAGAGCCTCTTTTTTTCTGCATACCTTCTTAATTCGTATGATTTTGATTAGCTGGTCTCTCAACAAAATTGATCGACTTATCTCGACAGGAAGTCAGGGTAAGGAGGCCTTTCTTACCTCGAACGGAAACAAATTAGATTATGATGACAACTGGATTCTGCTGTTTGAGTTGGTGAAATGTGGATTGTCTACAAATTCGTGTGGAATGTGTCGAAGCTTGGCAGCATTCAGACTGAATTTATGTGGAGCTGAGTCAGAGCTGGAGCAGGCTGTTATCAGGACTGTGAACTTTCTGGCAGCACCCATGAATGGTGGGAATAATCTTGGAGAAGCCGTAAGCTCGACTCTCGGCATAAATAGCCAATTCGGCTGTTTGGAGTCACCATCAGAGAAATGTACCATTGAGACTTTAAAAGGCAGAAACAGTAATTTATGAGTTCTGCCTGACCCAAACTGTGGCCTTGACGGCAGACTTATCTCAATACCTCCTGGCATGTTTAGGAAAAACAAAGATGCTCTGTATCCTGATGCATGCTCAATAATCCAGGTAGAAAAATCCAAAAAAGTTCAATCTGGTCCTCTGGACAATCAAAGAAACAAAAAACAAAACAAAGCAAAAAAATCTAGAAACGTTTCGTCTCTCATCCAAGAGACTTCCTCAGTCTGAGGTGCTGTATTCAGCTCAGTCTCTTAAATAGCACCTTCTCAGAGTGGATCAACCAGTTTGCTGCTGACAACCAAAACCAGTTGATCCCTTTTCTCATCTAAGCAAAAGCATTATTCTGCAGCATCGTGCACTCCGTCCATCTTTCGGACGGCTGTTTGGACATGTTCTCGTTGTATCTCAGTGCAAGAATAATAAAGCTTATTCTGATTCTGATACTTTTCTAAGTAAATTAAGACAGTTCTTATTCATAAACGGAATTATACCAGTACATTTTCCTTAATCTAGCATATTCAACGGCGATCCATGTGACCCAGAAGAATTCCTTTTAGCTCATGCACAAATGAGCTTCCGCAACAGATTGGGGAACCACATGCCCATTAGCATCAGAAGCATTTGTAATATGGGGGACACAATGGTGGGGGGTCCTCCCCC